ATTAATGAACATTTTGTGTGTGTGTATATGCTTGTGATGCCTAGTAACTTTTTGTCACAGAAGTGGTTAGAGACAGCTCAACAACATTTAGTTGTCATCGAGACTGCAGAGATTTGTGCTGATGCATGTGCACCTGTATGAAATGTCGACGTGCCAGCCTTCAGAGTCGGACACGAACCTCTGTTTATTTTGCAGCAATTAAAATTCCTCAGAGTAATGAAAGCCTCCAAGTGTATTGAACTTCAATAATATAACAGATGGCTCAATCTATCTTTGTCAAAATTTCCCATCAAAGGGAGGAGGGGTCCATCTGCAATGAACAGATAAACTGGTCGCAGATGAATACAAACAGACAATATATATGATAAATCGACAGTAACGCAGTTGCATGGAGATTGAATTCGCATTGAGATTGAATTCACATAGAGACCGAATAGAGTTGGCAAGCTTCCCGCAAAACGAGAGAAATCCATGATTCATTTTATCTGCACTCGAAGGAGCTGGAATGCAGCACAGAAGAAAACTGAGGTTTAAAAAATGATTTGCTATTTAAACACTGAAAAAAGGCAGATAAATTGAACAAGGAGATAGATCCATGAATGATGACAAAAAACTAATACAAGGATGTAACAGTATTCTCCTGAAAGTTCGAGAAATGTTCAATGAAAAGGCTTCAATCATGCTAATTCATTGAGATCATTGGACTAAAGGACAACTGACAAGCCAAATATCACAGGTTTGGACTCAAATGCAGGCAGACAAAAGGCACTTGACATAAAATAAAACATTTATTTTAACAAAAAGAAAACAAAAGGCTGATGTGGCAGAAAATACACTGACAAAAACTGAGGAGCGCAGAAACGCAAGGAGCACAGGGACGGCCAGGACATTTGGTAGGAACCAAGCCAATGGGCCAACAATGAAATGGTGATCAGAAGTATAAATAGAGACTGAGGAAGTGTGGAAAGTGCCAGCACCTGAGTGATTGATAATTAATAACTGGTGGGAGTGATAACTGATTGAAACTGGTGAGGCTGAGTGAGGGTGAAAGGAATGAAAGACAAGGAACACGGGGGGCTGAAATCCAAACACAAGGAAACAAAAATACAAAATGCAAATCACAAGAAGAACAGAGACTAAAAGAAAACTCAAGGAACATAGTAAAGATACACATTGTGACACCAAACAGAAAATAAGTACAAACTCATTTCTGAAAAAAGTTGGGATGCTGCGTGAAATGTAAATAAAAACAGAATGCAACGTTTTGCAAATTTCACAAACCCATAACTTATTTAACAGTGGGACTTAGAAAACAAAGTGCATGTTTAAACTAAGAAATGGAATCATTAAAAAAAAAAAACATACATGCAACTGTATGGCAGCAACAAATCTCAAGAAAGTTGGGACAATGGAAACAAAAGCTGTAAAAGTAATAGAAGCGGGTATAAAAAGAGCATTTTAGAGAGGCTGAATCTCTTAGATGTATGGATGGGCAGAAGTTCACCTGTGCAGAAAACTGCAGCAAAAAAAAGTGCAAAAAATAAGTGTATATATA